TCCTACTGTTCAGGCAGCCCTTCCACGCCTTCTAGGTGCTGCTGCTCCTCCAGGGACTGGTGCTCGTGAAAATCGTCATCAATGTCGCAAGGTTCCTTTTACTTTTTGTTCGTTTCGAGGACAGTCTCATGTTTTTGTTGTTCAGAGTCAGTGAATCTCTTGTTCCTGCTAGGTGTTGAGGTTGTGGCTTAAGAGGAAGATTTTCCCAGATTCTCTTTTGCGTCGTTATATTGGTGATCTTGGTGCTTCTGGTGATGATAAAACCGTTGGGTTTTCCCTACGGCGTCCTTCTAGATCTGAGCGTGCTGTAGATGATCCTCTAAGGGACATGGAAGGGATGTTTGTCGACGAGTATGGGAGGTATGCATTACGCTTATCTTGTTCTATAGTTCAATTTTTCAGATTTGACATAGTTGATGGGTTTAGTGGGATATTTATAATGCTGAATGGTTAAAGACAGTTTAAGTGCGGTTCTGAAGAGTGTTATTGTCTATTGATTTATATGTAAACGAGTTTTTTCTGCAGCAATGCAAGTTTTCAGCTACCGGGGTATTTATCTTCTCACACTTTTGGAGATGATGAAGAAGATGAGGATCTTCCAAGCACATCACAGGAAGTTAAACACACACATATGGAAGAGCCAGTCCATGCTTTAGGCAAGTTAGAGGCACATGGTAGTTCGAGTGATAAACCTCACTGTGTAGTGGATGTCAATGGTGGGCTTGAAATGAAAGATGCGTCTTGTCAGCTGAATGATGATGTCTGTGGGATTGAAGCGAAGGAGGACTCACCGGCTGCAACCTGTGCAACTGAGCTTCCTTCTTTTCCAGCGGGTTCTCCTCCTCTACCTCACGAATCGCCTCCATCTCCCCCTCCTCTACCTCCTTCTTCCCCCCCACCCCCATCATCTCCACCACAGCTGCCACCAGTGCCACCTCCCTCCGAGCATTGTTTACCTCCACCAGAAGCTGCATTGGCACCTGCACAATCTATAGCTCTACCACCATCATCAATAACTCGACCGTCCATGCCTAGCCATCCTTCATTACCACTTCAACCAGGATTCGCTCCCCCAGCATATCCATTATTGCAACATGAATACCAGATATCTATGCAGCGGGATCATTTTAGCATTGCCACTGTAAGCCCTCTGATTTCTGTGATTTCTTTATTTAGTTATCTTGTAATTTCTCAAGTTACATTTTCCCGTACTTTTGCTTATGCAGAGTAATCAAATTGTCCAAGTGCCCGTAAACAGTGCACATGGAAGGCATGCTGATGGGGGTGTAAAATCTGAATATTTAATACCGCAGTCATCTTGTTTTGCTCCGGTGCTTTTTAAACATGAAGCGTCTTCACAGAACCAACAACTTCGACCAATCAATACATCTTTTCTTCAGAGACCTATGATTAGGAATCTCGCCCCAGCACCATCCAGCCATTTTCCGCTTCAATGTCTGATTGTTCAATCAGAACCCCAGCGGTCCTCCTTTCCACATCCTTACCCTTTTCCTTCCCAGCCAGTTGAGGGGCGACGACATATGAATGAGGAAGCATGGCGGATGCCTTCAAATGGATGTAATGCAGATACTCAATATGGAGCCTGGATAAGTGGAAGAAACCCATTTCCAGGCTCTCTTACAGTTACCGACGGTATGCATATGCAAGAGACATCTCAAGCCTTAGTATGTCTGTTTGTTCATATACACGTCTGCTTGCGGGCATTATGCTACTTCAGTTGGTTATGATTCTCCTTTTGTTGATATTGGTCTTTTTATTTGCAACGACAGGTTTCTTTCAGCAACCTCCAGAAAGACCACCTTCGGGGACAATGAGCTATCAGCTTGCTGCTAATAACTTACAAGGTGGCCCTACGATTTCAGGTGAGACGATCTATATCAATTGATCTGCTTTTAGCCGCATAGGGATGCAATTGGGTGATCCTATGCGTTTCACTGCAATGTTTAACGTTTTAATTTGCCATTCAAGGTAATATTGCTCCGCAGATGCTTCCGTCTCGGCCAGACTTACCTTCCGCGGCTCGGTGGAGGCCATCCTGAAGTTAAGGTAATGATTATTCTTTTACACTTTGATTAGCAAGCTGCTAGTGTTCTCTCTTTTTTTCGCTTCTTTGTCTCTGATTTTCTTATTTCTGGATTGTTATCAATCAGTTCGAAATAGAGAACCTGCATTCTCTTCCATGAAGGACCTTTTTGGCGGTATATTCACATCCAGAGGCATCAAAAGTTCAAAACTCTGCAGACTATTGTCAGGATATTGCTATATATTGTAATTGTTCCTGACGAATGTATCACCGGATCCTATTCTTCACAGTATATCCCCTAGTTTCTAATTTGGTTAGTACTTCTGTTCCTCAGATCTTGTAATTAGGCCAATAACCATACACAGCTTTTTCTCGTTGAAGGAATGTCAAGCTTTTAAGTCCTAATATATTGGGTGCAATCTTTTTCTGATAAGAACCATCTAACTAAAAAAATTCTTTACTGGTATCTGAAACACGATTTTTAAAAATGCACATCTAATAAGTGTAGTGTCTGCACACAGAAATAGTTAGGTTCTAAGGTAGTTACAATAGTGAGGCAATGAGAAGTTCCAAATTATTAGGTGCAAATCTGTCAATATGTTCTTATTATTGGTTCCCTAAATGGAGACCTATCTAGTGTTTCTTTTTGTTTATGGCGAAAGTCACTACGGGATTACTGTAAAAGAGCTCATATTGTTAAACCACTGTATCACTGCTTTCTCCAACGTATAGTGAGGCGATGATGCCATTCTTTCTAATTGACTTAAGTTTCTGCATTGTTGTTTCTGACAAAATGTCTCTTCTGTGCATAACGTAGGTTGTCTACCCTGAAAGCCTTAGCAGGAACAATGACACATGCATTTCTAAACAATTGCGACTCCATGGTGCCGGTTTTACAAGAATATTCGTATCGATATCTTGCGCACTGCTTATCAGAAGTTTGTTGAGGAATTGAGGTATTGGACTATTGGTTCATCTATGTGTCTTGAAATATATATCTTTTATTCTTTTAAACCAAACTTGTCTATGGCTGCTAGTTCAATCTATAAGGTTTCCAGCTCCCATAAATCTCATATCCTTTTCAAAGGAAACATGCAAAAGGATCTCCAGAAAAAAACAACTTAACCAGCATTCTGAAAAATGATTTAGTTTCTTGATCTGCCTGATCTCTATGTTGTCTACAGATCTCTTTGGTCTTTCTATATCTGGTTACCTGATGTTGTATGTTGAGTTCAAATCCGAGTACATAAAACATTCAGCTGCATTATCTCTTGCTAGGTTTACACGTTTAGACCCGGAGTTGTAGAGATGAACGTCCTGGTTGGACCAAGTTTAGGCGTAAATCTCGAGGTAAAGACTAGTCTTTGACAATTTATTTCTATAGACGAAGTGTGTATTCGAGAACCGGGCTTATCTGAGAATTGAGATGTTACTTCAAAGTTTAATAATCTGCTCCGACTGGGCTCGGTTCAGCCCGGAGATTTTTGGTTCACTACAGATCTCTGTCTGAGAGCATATATGCAACACAAGTTCATGTACATATACTTAGGCTTCAATTAACTAGCAACAATCTCAAGTTTTTTGGGTGCTTGTTTCAGGGTATTGGGAAATTTTGTGGAACCGGAGAGTTCCAAAGTGATTGGGAACTAAGTCAGGCTTAGAAGCTTATGATTGGTTCTCTGAAGTCTGCAGGTTAGGTTTTTCTTACGCATTCTCTCTTTGAAAGGCACAGTGTGTGGAAGATTCACCATTTAGTAAACAAATACTCGTTTGAGCTTTTTTTTCTGGTTAAAATGATGTTGAATAAAAAGCATTGAGCTGAAAATAAGACATGAGTGATGAGCCTAATGAAAATGGAAGATTGGAATCTTATAGATCACAGATGTCTGGTGAATATTAAGGCACAGAGTTTTTTTTTTTTAGATAGTATGTTCGTAAAATAGCAACGAAGAGCCTAAACTGGTTAAACCGTATAACTAATGTGAAGAATATTTTAGAAAGTAAAAAGTGATTTCAATAACTAATGTTTTATACATGAATTAAAAAGTAGATTATAAGCATAATTGTATTCCATGTTGCCCAAAAAAGTGTATATTTCGTTCCATTGTTTTAAGGGAAAATATAAAACAACTCTGTTTCTAATTGTGAGGAAAAAGATTCGAACTTGAATCTCAATAAATACAACATATGTTACCAGTTGTGCTTATTCTTTTTTTACAGCGACAGCCAAAATCACCACAGCTTCTGCTACGAACGTGTTAAGCCATCCTTTTGACCATTGCTGCACCACTATTACGGCCATCACAAGAAAATCTATGCAAGTGGAAACAGTGATAGTAGCGGCTGGCTAATGACACGTTGGTAGCAGTAGCGGTGGTAATGTCGATAGCGTGAGCGGCAATGGAAGCATCGGTGGTGGCAGAAGCAGCGATGACGGGGACTGTCTATTTACGTATCATGCCTTTTTGATATAGACATATAGTCGATGAGGTCCATTATTCAAGTCTGGTTAGATGTTTCATTTTGTTAAACACTTGCAACTTTTTTGTAGATTGTTGGATTAACATTTTATTGTTGATTCTTGAGAGAATTTGATTCCTTAGACCTCCTCGTAGAAAAACTGACCCATATTGATTTAAATTAGGCTGGATAATAATTACTAGTAACTGCCAAGTAAAACATGACAAACAAGGAAAAGAAATTGCCAATGGAAAAAAAAAGTCTGAGAAGGCTAAAATTTTCAGGATTTTCATAGCGGTGGAGCAAACAGGTTCACACTGTGCGTCGGTATTTAGTCAAATGATTCGACAGCACAACCCGACTTCGTCTGGAAAGCAATATTCTTTCTTCTTCAATCACACAGACAATGATTTGAGAGAAACTTTATAGTAAACAAATGGTTCAATCAATAAAAAGCATAAAGAACAGTTTCATTTTGGCTCAATTCGAGTTGTGGTTGAATGAATGAGCCTTTGTACTTTAATAAAAGCATTATTAAATGAATGCATAGAAAATACATTTTAGTATGTGTTGTGACAATGTATCATTAATTAAAAATAAAAGTAAAACTACGCTACAGATTTTGTCGATACAACCGCACCCAGAAAATGGTACAGAATATAAACTTACAAAAAAAAAAAAAGACCCAATCATTACATCATCAGAAGCTTCTTTATAAATTTCAATTTTTGGAAGTTTTTCTTTCTTCCTTCCTTCCAATTTTTTTTCTCTAATCTCTTTACTTTTGTATTTACTCCGCCTTAAGCTAAATAGCTTCTTTTGACAATTGATTTGAATAGTCCCCAAAAAATGAACAAGGTAGTTAAAATAACCAGAAACTGACCTTTTTTAGTCCAGAGCCGTTTTATTTCTCCGTCCTGTTAAAGGCTTTGGTAATCCATCAAAGATGGAGCTTGTAATAGCCGCTGGTGTAAGCAAATCAGGTTTCAAGCTCCACTTTGAAGTTGGCCATAGAGACAACGAACCGTTATTGCTGTTACCATCTGGATCTTGTAGACTCGATGCACTCGACGATTTTCTTACACTGCTAAAGCTGTCTGCAACTGGAGCATCCATCAAGTTCATTGGCACTGGATTGAAGTTACCGGTCTCAGATTCTGCTGCTAGATTGGTTCTGCTTGAAGCTTTCGATCTCAAAGCTAAGCCTTTTCCGGCTATTGATAAAAACCCGCCATTGCTGCTACTGTTCTCTTCTTTCAACACAAGTTCTGGAGTCCGGGATGAAAAATCGGCCTCAGATTTTTGGCGTCTTCTCATAAACTTATCGGAGTTTGGTTCTTGAGTATTATTATCGGGTGATTGGTTAACCTCTTCGATAAGCGCATTGACCAAGCTTCTTGATTTCCTGTGGTGATTCAAGGGAGTATTTGTGGATGGGAAAGGTCTGAGATATCCGTTATCACCATTGTTAAAGAGATGATGAGAAGATTCCGTTTTGTAATTTCCCATCTCCAAGCATCCTCCATCAGAAACTGTTCTATCTGCAGGTTTTAGCCCGTAATAACCTTGCAATGAGTACATGGCTGGAGAAACTTTCTTTTCCGAAGATTTCAATCTCAGAGACTGAAATGAGTCAAACACTTCCTGGTCGCAATGGTTTGGTGATTCCGGTTCGTGGCATGAACATCCCTCTCTGCAAATAAGATTCCACGTATTAGAGCCATGAAAAGAGGATTACTCGATAATGATATTATGCAGTTTCAGTCTACCACAACCAAAGACTTTAGTTGTTTGCGTCTCAATCCCCCAGAGAGCTTAAGGGGACGAGACTTGAGGAAGTGGATTTTCGGCTTAACGATAAACTCAAAATACTTCTAAAACTGAGAAAACATGGGTATCAGAAACAGATAAAAAGTAAGAAGCAACACCTTAAGTTGTATCCTTGCAAAGTAAAGATAGCATATGTTAAATCATTCATTTTAAAGGTATTAGAACCAGGATAAAGAAGCTTTTAAGTACCCATGGTTTAAGGAGCCATTAGATAAACATGGAGAAGGAGGATGTCTCCCAGGTAACGGAATCTGAAGAGACTTGAGAGCAAACATTTGAAGATCAGTAACAAGGTTATTCATCCTTTTCACATCTGCAACCTGAAGTACAAAGTTTCAGGACACAAGAGAACAAGAAAAAAAATTCAGAACAACGATTAGGAATAAAAATCCAGCATCAAAAGCAAAGCTTAAACAATCTCAAATAATCCAGCTCTCTCTGACAATTAACCTTTTCCGCATGTGTTCTTCATCATTCGTCAATTCCAACACAAACAAAAAAAATCTGAATGCTTTTTACCAGTACCATTAATTCTACCTTTATCTCTAATTAAAAATACCGTTGTATGTCAATATTACTCAACAACCTTAAGCAAAGTCATATATTCTCAATTTTGGGGATGAATCGTTAGCTGAAGAGAAAGAATTATACCTCAACACCGTATTTGATGGCAATGCCGGCGAGAGTATCAAACTTGGAGATGCGGTGTTCGATGTATCCACGGTCAGGCGAATTGGAACCATGAAATGGCGGAGAAGAACTAGAAGGTGGAGGAGACGAGGTCGGCGACGGGATCCGAAGGATCTTCGATCTAGAAGGACTCTTCTCACGGCAATTTTCCAATCGATCTATGAATCCATAACCATTATCATCGCGGAATTTGCCGTTGCTATATTCAGGAGTCCCATTACGACCAGAACTCCGTCTCTCTCGATCCATAAACATAACTCTCTGGGAAAATCCTACCTATACTACACTAGATCTGATCAAAATTGCATCATCAAGTAGAGGAACAAGAAATCGGAACGGTGAAGGAGGAGAGATTCAAAAAAAAAAAGAAAAAAAAGAGGAGAAAAAAGTGAATACAAGGAAATGGTGAAGAGGCGTTGAGAGAGATTAACGAAAAGAGAGAGGTGAAAAAAAACTCGTGGACTAGAGAGTCGAATTTTCTCAGAGAATCGATGGAAAATTTTGCTTATTATTTTTCCCCAGATTTTCCGGGAAAAACGAAACGAGAGATCTCTGTGCTCCTCTCTCGTCGCAGCGGTGGAATTGGAATTATACCAAAATTTTATTTAATGACCTTAAAAATAGAACCAAAGCAAAACTAAATCAGATTGTAATTAATTATTGCATTATTAACACTAAGCTTTGTATATTAAACTGCATTTTATAATCGAGCTGAAACAGCAAAACTTTATTAAACTGATGAAACAATAATCAGCTCTTTATAAATTTTTAGTAAAAAAAAGTTTTTCTAGAAGAATAATTCTAATATTAATGAATAAAAGTGCTCAAATACTTTTTTATAAAATTAAATTAAAAATATTGTGAGATTCTGATTACGTAAAAAAATTAAAAAATTATCTACTTATATAAATAATTAGATTACTTATGTACCGGATAAAATAAAAAGCTTTGAAAGTCAAGAACGAAGTGTGTGTGTTTGACAAAGAAGAAGTCCGCATAATGTCGGCGAGAGAGTAAAATCCATTCTTCTTTGCCTAACCAAAATTACACTTAACTAATAAATTAAACAATTGATTAGACATCCAAGAGTGGTCCAACTTCTCCTCTAGCTCGTGGATTAATTGCTTGGTTTGGGAAAAGAAACCGGGTTAGTTTCTCCGGTTTGGATGCTTCAATATTGGCTCTGTACAAACAAAGGTATCCAGATTTGATCCATTTGGTGATCAGTCTACAAATCGATTCATGACTTCAAGATTAATGAAGTTAGAACATAATTTAGAGAATTTGGATTCAAATGAAGCTAGTTGCTAAGATTCAAGACAAACCTTACTAATTACATCTGAATCACCAAAGTGATTTAAAGGAAAAACACAAATCTAAGTTAAAAAAAAATGTAAAGAGCATATCAACACCAAGACGCGACGAATTTTGCACTTTACAGAGAAATGCTAGAAAAAAAGAAAAAAACAAGTCAAAAGGATAATGTTAAAAAATTTTGTTGATTAGCTTTGTAGACTTGTTTGCTGGGTTTCTTCTAGTTGCTCTGGTTGAGGAACTGAAACACCTCCATTCATTCTTGCTCGAGCTTCGGCAAACATTCTCTGTTGTTCCGCTGCTGCTTCTTCTTCCGTCATCTCTGCTCCGCTGTTCATCTTCACGCTTCTCTGTGAATCTTGCTGCAAAATTGCAAAAACACAAACGAAACTGATTAGAATTTTATTCAAGTCTAGATTGTTTGTAAATTAGGAGAAGATGATGTTGTGTAATGGATTATTACCATGGTTTCATATTTATGTTGCTCATAAGCGGCATAGACTTCTTCGACGTATTCCCCAAAGCCAAGAACCTGTGTTTCATGTCATGAACAAAAATCACGATTACAATACATGTATATATCTCACATAGATAAATCCAACTGAATGTAAGACACTAAGACCAAACCTGTAAAGCTTTGAGTACGTGCTCAGGGGCGATTGTTCGTTTATCCTCTTTGTTACATACTTCGTTAGCCTCCGAGGATATAAGATTTATGAACTCTGCGATAATGTTTTAAACAAATTGACCATCATAAGTAATGAGATAAGCAAATTTGAAACAATGATCGAATGCATTAATCTCAAGACTAAATCTTACCTACGCAACACTCAATCAATAGATCTTGAGCATCTCTAGCAACACGAACATCTGCGGGTAACATCTCCTTTATAATTTTCGTCATGGTAGCTGAAATTTCACAAAGAACAAACATATCTTTTAGCTAAGAAAAATGAAAAGTTAGGTGAAGTTACTATAACATTGATTGCATAATCCTAGGTTCACAAAATCTATTCAATTTAACACAGAAATTGACAGAACCAAAAATTAAGTAATACAGAGATCGATCCAAAGAAGGAAACGAGACCGAACCTTTAGGAAGCGAAGCATCTTCCTTTGATTTTCCAACTATATCCATCGGATCCATCGTATCTCTACAGAATCAGAATTCAAAACGACGATCAAATTAATGGAAGATCTAGACCGCGAAGTTAAAAGATGAAGAACAATGATAGAAAACAGAGATAGACTTTACCGAGGATCGAAACGGTGGGATATCAACGACGGCGAGTTGACAGAAACTCGAGACCGAGTAACGGCGAGATCGGAGACGTGAAGTCGGTCGGGTTGTACGGATATCTTATCGGCGGATTTTCTCTCTCCCTTTTTCGGTTTCTCTACGCAGAAGTCGATTAGGGCAAAAAAACATAAGACCAGAAATAAGCGCGTGAGTTTCACTTTTTCCCAAAGTGATTGACGGCGCGTAAGATATAATTTCCTTTATTTTAAGACAATGTGAAATGGGCTTTGGTTTGGAGCAGACACGACCCGTTTCAGCCCAGTGTTTTTTCTGTTTGGTTTTGAACAAATGAATCATCCGCTTTAAAGGCGTGGAGTTCTTTAGTCCACTGGTTAATCAGTTCTTTAGGGGATGTATTGAATTAAGTATTTTGGAAGATTTGATTTATTTTCAAATCACATGTTATTCTTCTTTTTATTTTTTAGCATGTTATTCATGTTTACATGTTATTCAAACAATGATTCTTAAATGTTTTTACTTATGTTATTGCACATGAAATTTGCTTAAAAAATCATTTCAAATCACTTGTTATTGAATAAATGATTTATAAAAGTCCTAACAAATATGGTGTTATTCAAATTTAATAATTATGTTACTAGTAAAAAGTTTTGGAAATTATTTTATGAGAGTATAAATTCATTTTGGTAGTTATAAATATGAATCAAATAAATCACACCTCTCTACAAGATGTACCAAATAAAGTAAAACTCTCTAGTCCAATATATTCTCGTAATGTTTGTATACTAGATTTTGAGTTAGATTTTCATATTTGTTTGAACAAAAAATCAAAAATATATTTTCTTTGAAGATTATGGATGCAAAATCTCTTTTTCAATTATAGTCGTGGTTTTGTATATACACTGATAAAAATCGTTTGTCACTAATCTGTGTGTTGCGGAAATAGTTGTATGTGGCATTTAACCTAGTGGTAATTAGTATAAATTGAGTTATAACATAATATTAAATTACAGAGTCATATATTATGCATCAACTCAGGTCTATCATACTATAATGTAGTAGTTCTAGAAGAAAACCTGATCTATAAAGTTTGTTACATATATTAGGAGATAGAGAGAGAAGAGATGTATGTAGTAGGCAAATCACAAAATCACAAATGGTATCTGGTCAGATTCCTGGTTTAATACTTTCATCACTTTGTTTCCTTTTTTCTTTGTTGGATTCATAAATTTGACATTGGAAATCTCTGATTCTCTTTGTCCCAGTTTTGCTACAGATGCATGTGTATGTTTTTGTCCATTTGATTGATAAAGATCCAGCTATTTATTACTTGATTTTGACCGTTGATTTTTCAGATCTGATATGTTTTGTTTCCTCCGATTCGGGAAATTTTATGTTTCTTTGCCATTTTTTTTGGAGTTTAGTTGGAAAAAGAGTGAGAGTCGCTGGAGGCAGCGGTTCATCGATCTCTTCCTGGGAACGAATATATAAATATTGAAAAAGCATGAATAGATCGATAAACCTCTGCATCCAGCGTTTGCCTCTTTATCTTTGTTATTGGCTTCAATTTTTTTGGTTTTTGAAAAAAGTGAGGGAAAACAGAGTCAAGTCAGATTATTTTTCTGGCATACTTGAGGATTTTGTGTTCTTAAGAGCAGATAAAGAGGAGACAGTTGTTTCTGGTGAGAATTCGACCTCTTTAGTTTGTTTAAGTGAATTGCTTGTTTCTTTGAGTATGTAGTTGACTGATAAGCCTTAGCTTGACCTTTATGTTTATTAAGTGGATTTGGCGTTGGACAAATTGAAAACAAGTTCAGATTCTTGTAGGTAGGTTCCTTTCTTGGTCTGACCAAACAATGGTCAGGATAAAGTGGTGTGTTTTGTTTCATGTATCAAAAAGTCTAGATTCTTGCTTTTCTTCCAACATGCAAGATTTCTCTTTATGCCATGGTATAAATCAAATCTAGATTCTCCTCTGTTGTTGTAACAATGCAAATTTTATGCTTTTGTAGGTGATATAGAAGTTGGCATCTAAATTTGCTTTCTTTTGACCAGTGAAATTCAATTGCAGTGTTGACATCTCCTATTGTGATAGGCGATGTATCAGTGGTGAAGCAAGAATGAAATATGTGGGTACTTGTTCTTGTTCCCTCACCCTGATTTCTGTGTGTTTGGACTTGAAAAACTAGAATCAATTCACTCCAAACGGTGTTAACTCTGCTGCCATGCGTTGAGCTGCTTTTTGGATTTTCCATTGTTTTGTTTTGTGTGGTAAGTTCATTGTGTAGTTTCTTTTCAACTGTATGAAACCCACATTGTTAATTGTAAACACTTACTTATAAACGCAAACATCAATCTTCATTCATCCCCATGATTCCTACTTTACTTATTAACACGACAATGACACTCAAGCTCCAAACATCAATCTCCGCTTATGGCTTTTTGTTAGTTGCTTCTACTTTCCTCAAGCAAGTTAAAACACGTTTTGATAACAATATCATACTACTTTTTGGTAATATAGATGTCATGGATAAAGCAAAATTACTTGTGAAATTAGTGAAGTTGTTGTTATACAGTCGTTCCTCTGAGAATCCGATACAAAAGCTCGTATGAGAATGTGATTAAATAACATTCACTATCTTAAGTATTCTCAAGTATGAAAAGCCAATAAAATCTGATTTCAAGCTAACCAACTCAATGAATGTTTCCTACCAAAAAAAAAAAAAACAACTCAATGAATGTTGCAAACTTTAGAAACTATATAAAGGCCCTGAGGGAAAAAAAAAGAAAAATATATATAAAGGCCCAAAGAATTGGGCCGTCATATGTAACCACTTTACCTTCTTAACAAGCCCATATGGAATTAGGGTTCCTATATTTCATCTGGTCAAGCACTTGTATAAAACCCTAACATCTCATGGTCTTGTAACGAACGGCATAAACCCTAGATATTTCCGCCACACCTCTTCCGCCATTTTTTTTTTAACTGGAATAAGCTCTAGCTAAATATGGGAAGCGATACCGAAGCAGAGAAGTCGATTCAAAAGGAGAAGAAGAAGTTCGCAATTTCTCTTGCTCCTATCGCTAAACCTCTTGCCGGCAAAAAACTCCAGAAGAGAACATTCAAACTCATTCAAAAAGGTACCAGTCTCACCCCCGAGCTCGCTTGAGTTCGAGTGAAAACTCTTTTTCTATTGATTAGTAGCTCATGTTCGTGTATTGCCCTCTAATTTTTGCTAGCTGCTGGGAAGAAATGTTTGAAGAGAGGAGTTAAAGAAGTGGTTAAGAGCATAAGACGTGGCCAGAAAGGGTTAGTCTTTTCTTATTTATTCTCATGGTTGAGTGTGCTTTGTGATTGTATTGTGTTGCAAATTGCTTGTTTGATGTTGAATCCGTGTACAAATAAGCCGATGCTCTGGATTAAAGTAATGAATGTAGCATGGTACTGTACACGGAAACTGAACTATGGATCGACATGTCTGCCATCTCTGATTTTCCCTGATTAGACGGCCTGGTTTAGATCCACATTCTCTGTCTTGTCTTTGTGATAATGTTTGATAAAAGGATTTCATCTTCTTATATGATTTTTATGGTGTTCTGTCTTTGGTATTTTACTAGGGAATTAGCTATTTGTTTAGTAGATTTTGAAATACTACGTGTACAATTAAGCCGATGCTCTGGATTAAATCAAATGAAGGAAGCATGGTACTGTGCACGGAAACTGAGCTACCGCAGATCGACATGTCTGCCATCTCTGATTTTTTTTTTGTGATGAGACGGCCTGGTTTAGATCTACATTCTCTGTTTTTATTGATGTTTATGTTTCTTTAGTAGGGTTTATGTCTACTAATGTCAAGCTGTTTGATTAACTGTTGTGAAATCCGTGTACAATTAAGCCGATGCTCTGGATTAAACAGAATGAATGTAGCATGGTACTGTGCACGGAAACTGAATCATGGATTTGAAATGTCTGTGCCCTCTCTGAGTTCCTTATTGGTTCTTTGATTTGCGGGCCTGATTTCAACCCACATTTGTTGCTTCTTTCTTCTTTGCAAACTAAAAAATTCTTTTATGTTTTGAGTGTTGCATCGAATTTGATGAGATTTGTTCTTTGTGACTATTGCAGATTGTGTGTTATAGCTGGAAACATATCGCCCATTGATGTGATTACTCATCTTCCAATCTTGTGTGAGGAGGCTGGTGTCCCTTACGTATACGTTCCATCCAAAGAAGTAAGCCAATGTTCTTTCTTGATTCTAATTTCTTATCAATCAATCTGTTTTGTGGTGCTAAGACTTTTTATTTTTAATGAAATTCAGGATCTCGCGCAGGCCGGGGCAACGAAACGACCAACATGTTGTGTCTTGGTCATGCTTAAACCGGCAAAAGGAGACTTAACTGCAGAAGAGCTTGAAAAGTTAAAGACAGACTACGAACAAGTCTCTGACGATATTAAGGAGCTAGCAACTTCTGTAATCTGATTAGAAACTAGAATGTGAACTGTTGTGCTTTTGATGGGTAATGAATATCATGAGATTTTACGGCATCGGATATTACTTTGCACAATTTTAAGTTTTTGATATCGTAGCGATTGTAAAATTTAAAATCATAAGTCTTTATGTTTTCATCTGGTTGGTGTTTAGTCTAGATGGCGTTTATTTAATCACGTCCTTATCTACGTGTTTTGGGTGTTAGTGCTTAATCTTGTCTCCTTGCCATTGTTTGGTTATTACATCGTTATTTACAATGCTGTCTGAATTAGTTAATATGTACTGACTACTGTTGATTGTCTACTACATCGTTATTATGGTGATCAATTTTGTTTTAGTTTTATTACTTTCGTAAAGGGTGAGATAGCAAACGGGGGTGAACAATTATTTTTTTCGTTTCCAATAACATAAATTCTTTTAATAAATTTTATGTCTGGGAGGAAAATTGATATTAGGATGACATGCGAAGAAAACAAACAGTGGCCATTAAAACCAGAACATGCCCCACCATTATACAACTTGTTTCAACAACTTATGTCGTGATTCACATTCACCACCACTAGATTGGGTTTAGGATTCCGATTCTACTTGCTTCTAGATTCTGATTCCGCTCGCCACTAGAAGTGGGGTCGTGGTTCGTATAAGTGAGAATAAAAAGTTTCAGTCGAATAGTAAAAAAGGTGATGGGGTCCAACTGTAAGAAAACATATTTATGTGGGTCAGAAAAAAAAAAAAGGTATTCGGAATCAATACGCATTTTGCATCAGTAAAACCATCTCTGACTTCTCTCACAAAAACATCGTAAAAAATGGAGGAGTCACGAGAATCGCCGGTGGAACACGGCTACTACATGCCGGCGGAATGGGAACCTCATGCTCAAACTTGGATCGGTTGGCCTGTAATTCTCTATCTCTCTTCCTCTTTCTTTTTTCCATGTTTGTTCGTTGGAAGTGATACTCGACGGCGATTCTGGAGAACTGAATCTCGCTGTTCAGACTTCGATTTCGATTTTTTTCCTGCTCGCAATTTATCATTGTTCGAATTTCTGTCTTGCGTTTGTTTGATGATTTCTCTGTTTCTGGGTTCGTTTTTTAGAGTTTCCGATGAATTTTGATTATTCTGGAGGTTTTGCTTCTATATTTCGAGTTAGCGCATAGCTATGATTGGAGATGAGATCTCTTACATTGAAATATTTATTTGTTACAGATTCTGCAACCAAAGCAGAACTTAAAAAACATTAGGTTCTTTGTTTAGACCATATGATTATGTTTCGATTTGTTTAATCACTGTTTGTATGAATCAAACAGTGTTAATTCTAACCTCAAACCGCTTTTGTGATTTTGGATCTATTCTGACATAAAATGGCTGCAGGAACGGCAAGATAACTGGCGGCACAACGCTTTACCCGCACAACGAGTGTTTGCAGATGTTGCAAAGGCCATCTCAAAGTTCGAGCCTGTAACTGTCTGCGCAAGCCCTGCTCAGGTTTGTTTTGAATCATACCTTAAATAAGGAAACATCTTTGAGTTTTCTACATACAGATGTACCTAGTAGTCTCTCTCTTTTTTTGGCTTACATGATTGTGTTTGCATTAGTGGGAAAATGCAAGGAAACAGCTTCCAGAGGATATAAGAGTTGTTGAGATGAGCATGAATGATTCTTGGTTCCGCGACTCTGGACCAACTGTGAGTTGAGTTCTTTAGCTTCTCCTTTTTCTTTATCTTACAAAGCTTTCTAACATTCTGTTGTTACCGCTCTCTTTTTTCACAGTTCATTGTGCGTAAAAGACCATTAAAGCTCAGTTCTCTTAACCAAAACATTGCTGGGATCGACTGGAATTTCAATGCCTGGGGAGGTAAGGATTTGGAAACCTTTTTCCATTCTCCACTATTTGTGTCCATGCTTGACACACTTTTCCCATGGCAGGAGCTAATGATGGCTGTTACAATGATTGGAGTCATGACCTTCTAGTTTCACGAAAGGTATTTTGGAGAAACAAACCTTCTAGTAATCATCATCGGTTTCATATCTCTCTCATAAGCATTTTCAAATATTGATTTGCTTTTTCTTCACTTATTCATCAGATTCTCGCTTTGGAACGGATTCCAATATTTCAACATACGATGATTCTTGAAGGAGGCAGCATCCATGTAGACGGGGAAGGTTTGCATACATTTCACTGGGAATTTATAACTCTATAACTTGCAAAAAACAGACCCTCTGAGTTTATTATTGTTCACAATTCCACTTTGTTGCTTTGCTTATTCTGCTTTCAGGAACCTGCCTTGTTACAGAAGAGTGTCTCCTGAACAAAAACCGAAACCCTCATATGAGTAAAGAGCAAATAGAGGAAGAACTAAAGAAGTATCTGGGAGTAAAAACATTTATATGGCTTCCTCGTGGTCTTTATGGTACTCCACTTGCTCTATCAATTAGAATTGCCATCGCTTAACTCGCAAGAAATACTTGCTAATCTTATACAAATTTAATGATTTTCAGGTGATGAGGACACAAACGGTCACATTGACAACATGTGCTGCTTCGCTAGACCGGGAGTTGTGTTATTGTCTTGGACAGATGATGAAAGTGATCCTCACTACGAAAGGTCTGTAGAAGCTCTTTCGGTTTTGTCGAATTCGATTGATGCTTGTGGAAGGAAGATTCAAGTCATTAAACTTCACATTCCGGGACCCCTTTATATGACAGAAGAAGAATCGTCTGGAATCACTCAGGTAACGAATACTGACTGGAAAAACTCAAACTCAGAAGTTGTTTCTGAAAGCGATTTGATAATGTTGGATATTCATTGTTGCAGGACGGTGAAGCTATACCAAGACTTGCAGGGACAAGACTCGCAGCATCGTATGTGAACTTCTACATCGCCAATGGAGGAATAATCGCTCCACAATTCGGTGATCCAATACGTGATAAAGAAGCAATTCGTGTCCTCTCGGAGACATTTCCTCATCACTCGGTATTTAAACCATCTCTGTTTCATAAATCAAAACAAAAAGAAAAGGTTCTGATTTTTCTTCTTCTGACTTTTTTTTTAAGGTTGTGGGAATCGAGAATGCAAGAGAGATTGTTCTTGCTGGAGGAAACATACATTGTATAACGCAGCAACAGCCAGCGGAGCCTAGTTCTGTTGCCGAAAACGGCCACTGACGGTGTTCTCCACGCGCCGCCGAGGAATTGATGAATCCTGGTCGTTGATTTTTTAAATACAGATTTGATTCGTGAGGACGAACGAGAGCTGTTCGTTAATTGGATCCTGTATCTATGGTTCGTTGACTAAGAAATATATTATTGGTTCTTCGTTCTGATCGGATTAAACCAGTCTCTAAGTTTCTTACCGATCAAACAATTCTTGCATTTTGGCAAAACAATTAGGATTTTGTTCTGTTAATTATGCAAGTTTGAATAATGAATTTATTTGTTTTTGTATTTTTATGAAGTTTTAATGTATTTGGTCAGTCAAATCTCTACCTTTTACGTATTTTTGTTGTTGTTGTTGTTGTGACTTGTGACCTAATTAATAATTGTTATATAAGTTTCATATTACATGATGACTAAAATGCGGATTATAAACTGAATGTCTTTTTGGTACGACTTTTTCTCGTGAAAATTAAATTATTCTATTAGCGTTATGTTTATTTACCCAAACCAATTAGCTAAACGCAGATTAATTTAATGAATTAATTAATTAGTGAAAAACACGGAATTGTGTGCCTGTATCGTATAAGCTGACATGAATGCTTCAACTCCAAATCTCTGGACTCCCATATAATTGAAACAGAGAGAGAAGGGAAAATTCGAGATCTCGAATAATGCGAATCTGAAGGATCAACGAATTTTGTAATCTTTAGATCGGATCGATTCGTTGGTCAAGAGGAGACTGTGCGTAGTGTGATTCGTGAGCATGGGCTGTTCGTTTTCGGGATTGAACGCGCTTTACGACGCCGTCAACGGTGGAGGTGACGTCTGGATCAATGAGAATCGGTTCAGGATCGTCAGGCAGCTCGGCGAAGGAGGTTTCGCATTCGTCTTTTTGGTCAAGGAAATTGTCGCCGACGCTTCCTCCGCCGCATCCGGTGGTGGTCTAGCGAAGAAAGTCAAGAATCCGGCTCATCTCTCCGGTTAGTATTTTGATGATTTCTCTGGATGTTTCTCGATTCGTGATCTGCGTTATCTCGATCGAATCTAAATTGCTAGATTTGCTTTCGTTTTCGTTTACCATCCGATTGTGGTTTTGATATTGGACAGTTGAAATTGTAGATCAGCTCGGGCTATGAGAGATTGTTATAGAAGTCAAACTATAACAATGTAGGAATCGTATGTTTGTTTTCTGAGAATCCTGTTCCATATAGGTTGACTGGAGATCAAACA